TGGAGACCTCTCGTGTCACCCCCACCTGGCTGACTGTTCCTCTGTCTGGCTTCCTGGCTTTTAATCCCCTTTCTCCTGCTCTTCCAGCCTGCTACTCTGGCATCCCTGCGTTGTCTCTCCTCACCTGTAAGCCTGGGGCTCGAGGCTTTTATCCCCTTCCCTGCTCTTCCAGCCTGCTACTCTGGCGTCCCTGCGTTGTCTCTCCTCATTTGTGTATGAAGAATATAAATAAATTTTTATTTAAATGTCACTTTTTTAACTTAAGACTCTCATAATTGTGTATTATCTTCCTTTTATAAAGGCTTGATTATTGTTGTTGTTGTTACATGCCGTTGAGTCAGACCTGACTCACAGCGCAAGGTTAAAACTGTAGCTCACCAAGCAAAACTTGACAAGACATTTTTTTCTCATTTCATTTCCACTATATTTTTTTCCATTTATGTTTCTATGTCCTAGCCATAGAAACAAAAAATACACAAATAAGAATATAAATGGCTTTCTCTTCTAACTTCTCAAACACAGGGTGATCTGCCCATGGCTATACCTGTCATTTCCATTCTTTCTCTCCTTTGACAAATAAAAAGCTTACATTTGTAGCAGTTTAAGCATATATATACATGTATGTTTGTGTGTGTGTATAGATATAGATATATAGATATATCTATATATACACACATACAATCTATTACTCTCACTTCTTCCAAAGAGACAACAATTGAAGATGATTAAAAAATAATAATTTAAAAGTCCAGGCTTACTGGTATAATAGAGATTTGTGTAACCCCCAAGAGTATGGCCTTTAGACACTTTCAAGCCTGGAACTGAAATCACCCTCACAGTTCAACCTTTAGCCAAACGACTATAAAGTGAACAATACACCCTGGAGATACGCACTGCTTAGAGCAAGCAATCAACCATATGAGATCAAAAGGGCAGCATTTGCCCAGAAATAACGCTCAGAAGGAAGGAAAGGATAGGAAAGAAGGGCAGGAAGTAAGTGAGAAAAGTACTGTTATGTTGTGAAGATTGCAATTAATGTCACAAAACAGAATGTGCATGAATCGTTGAATGGAAAACCAATTTACTCTACAAAGTTTCACTCAAATCACAATAAAAAGTTTAAAAGATTAAAAAAAGGAAAACTAGAACTTATGTGAAGATACACAAGGATTCAGAGCAGAATGCTTTATCCTTTGCATTCCTACTGTCAATGGGAGGTTCACTTATACAAAATGCATATAACCTATATTTTATTTCATCCAGTAAATCAAATATGACCACCAGAAAAGCAGAGTTAAGGTTTTCAAAAAATATATCTATTTCTTTAAAAACTTTCTTCAACTATTAAAATAAGACAGGGATAAACTGTCCTTTTTAGTGGTCTGCACACCACAAATAGGGTGCTCCCTGACTGTGAAAGAAAAAAAATAGACTGGACATATCAGAATACCTTATATGCTACAGAAAGAAAATTCTGTTCATTATCTTACAGGGAATTAAGTATGTGGCTTCCTGTATGTAGATCCTCTAGTTCATTTATAAAACAGTCTCTATTCAAACACTCTATACAGCTTCCAGAATATATTTGTTTGAAAACTTTGAGGATTTCATATATGCAGATCACAAAGTTTTGAATCTCTCATTACTATTATAGCCATTGTAAAAATTAACATGTAAACTACAAATTCCAGCTATAATGCAGTTTCACTGTAAATTTTAATGATTCAAAGACAGTCTTTTCAACTTTATCATTCCTCTGCTCTTCAAATCAATTTAAGATTTATTAAGTGCCTAAAGGGAAATATTATAGCTATGTTAGTGGCTATGTTACTTAAACACACCTTACCTACCCTTTTCTCTGAAATTAAAAAAAAAAAAAGTGTTTCTTATTAAAAATAAACTTAAATAGCAGACCTTCCCAAAGCTTCTTCCAAATGGATGGTGGCTGCTTGCAGTTGATTTTGACTGCTTCAAGAGACAGGCCCAGGCGAGAGGACTCAAGTGGCGAATGGTGGTAGCAGGCCTTTGCTGGAGTGGCCTAACAAGCAGACAGTTGCCACAGTTTGAAATTCTGCAGAATAGCTTGCTGCTGCCCAAGATTATTTTAATGTTAAATTGGGTATTCTTGGAAAGATTTATCATTAAAAGAAAGGTTGTAGCCTATCTGTATCATTTCAAAGCATGACAAGGACTTATCCCTGGCTAGGTTAGCAAGTTAGTTGCCATTGAGTCGATTCCAATTCATGGTGATCCCATGTGTGCAGAGTAGAACTGTTCCATAGGGTTTTCATGGCTGTGACCTTTCAGAAACAGATCACCAGGCGTCTTTTCTGAGGCACTTCTGAGTGGGTTAGAACCACCAACCTTTTGACTAGCAGTCAAGTGCCTAACTGCCTATGCTACCCAGAGACTCCCAGGTTAATAAGATGCAGAACATTTAGAGGTATATGGAAAAGAGGCGGCAGGTTATATGTTTGAAACCAACAGCTATCAGGAAGAAAAGTTAGTAGAGCGATAAATGAGATGAATTAGTCTTCAAACTCTTTATGATATTAAAATAAATGTCATAAGCCATAACATATCCTTAGGGTTGTAGCATTCATTACCAAAGCAAGACAGTGCACAGAAGGATGAAACCAGCATATAGTTTTTGAGATATTAGAAATAAAACTTTTCAGCATTGCTTATTTCTGTATTTTTATCATGTATTTATCTATTTAAGCTTTAGTGAAAATAATTTGCTTACCAATTATTGTTAAAATGAATAAAAGCGTGGAGACAGATGCTGTGCCATAAAACATGGTGCTGATATTGCAAGCCAGAAGACTTGTGTTATTCTGTGTGTTGGGCACTAAAACTGGTGGTAGTAAAAAGCCAACTGCAGTTCCAAGCTGTAAAACAAACAGGCCTGTTAATAGCAATTATCCTAAGAGGAAAAAAAAAACAAAACACTATCAAATAATAGGACATAAGCTGATGTATGTGAAGGGCTTTATAAACTTTGAAGCATTTTGTTCTGTCTTTGTTACTACTGTAGTGTTAAAGGGATATTACTGACAACTCTTTCAACACACATTTACTGAGCTCCGACTATCTGAATGAGAGTGCCATAAAGATATATAGTCCTTGCCCTTTAAATGCTTACAATCATAAAGAGGTACAAGTATATGCAAAATAAAGCTGAAAGGAAGAAAATGTTTACAAATCATGAAGATGTTATCAAATATGGTAAGGGCTTAGCATACAGACTATATAAAAAAAGTCTTACAATTCAATAACAAAAAGACAAACAATCCAATTTAGAAATGGGCAAAGAACTTGAATAGACATTACTCCAAAGACATAAAATTGCCAAAAAGCACATGAAAAGATACTCAACATCATTAGTCACTAGGGAAACCAAACTAAACTCACAATGACATAACACTGATACCCACTGTTGTTTATCATTGAGTTAATTCCGACTCATAGCGACCGCATATGACAGAGTAGAACAGTCTCTTAGAGTTTCCAAGGCTGCAATCTTTACAGAAGCACATTGCCACATCTTTATCTAGCTGGGTGGCTGGTGGGAGGGAACAGCCAACCTTACATTAGTAGCCAAGAGTTTAACCATCAGGGCCCACTAGAGCCCCTTCTTATACCTACTAAGAAAACTGTAACATAAAAGTGGAAAATAGTAATTAGCAAGATGTAGAAAAACTGGAACCCTCATGTATTGCTGGTGGGAATGTAAAATGGTGAAGCCACTTTGGAAAAACAATTGGCAGTTCCTCAAATGCTAAACACAGAATTACCATTTGACCCAACAATTCTACTTCTAGGTATATACCCAAAAGAATTGAAAATAGGTACACAAATACCTGTACACCAATGTTCACAGAAGCACTATTCACAATACCCAAAAGGAAACTACCCAAATGTCTACCAACTGATGAATGGATAAATAAAATGTAGTACAGACATACAACGGAATATTATTTGTCTATTCAAAGGAATAAAATACTGATACATGCTACAGTTTTCATGAATCTTGAAAATATTATGTTAAGTAAAAGAAGTCAGACGAAAAAGGTGTCTGCATGATTCAATTTATAGGAAATATCCAGAATAGGTAAATCCATAGGGACAGAACGCACATTAGATTAGTGGTTGAACATGGGCTGGGAGAGAAGGGAACAGCGAGTGACTGCTGAAGGGGTACTGGGTCTTCTTTGGTGGTGATGGAAATGTTTTGGAAGTCGATAGAGGTGATGGTTATGCAACACTGAGAATGCACTAAATGCCACTGAATTGTTTAAAAAGGTTACTATGTGAATTTCTCCTCTAAAAAAAAGTATATGATCATTGCAATAAAATAAATAAAATCAAAATATTAAGGAGGTTCAGTGGAGGGAGACATAAGAGGGAATTGACAAGAGTCCAAGAAAGCTTTCAAGTAGGAGGGTGAGGCAAAGTCAGCAACGTTTACCAAATATTCCATTTGCTCCCTTACAAAAAGCTAGAGACAATTAAGAAGGTATTTATAATAGAGTGTGTAAGTATACTAACATGAGGGAAAGATAGAGGATACTAAGACTAGGTAGGCCACGTAATTTATCACCCAACAATGTTTGGAATAGAACAGGATCCATTAGGAATTATGCTGGACAACAGCTGTATATCTGGACTATCCCAGGCAAAATGGGACATTTGGTCATTCTAGCTAATGGAGGAACATCTTGCACAGACTTCTGGTTCAGGAAACATTTCTGGAGAAGCAAAGATCTGTAAAAGAAATTGGAATTGGTGACATGAAGCAGAAATGTTCCAAGATAAGAAGGAAAGGGCATGACCTTGAGAGAAAGTGTAAGTAGTGTACAAAGAAAAGAAAGAGTATGTGTGTTGGAAATGTAAGCTATGGAGGGAGAGGAGGCTGAAGAGTTGGCAGGAGCCCGATTTGGAGGGTCTTACAGGTCATATTAGAGAGTTTGAATTTTATGCCAAGCAATGGAGGCCACTTTAGCGAACAAGGAGTGACCTAAACAAATCTGCACATAAGAAAGAACATGTTGGATGAATGTGGAAAATGGAGGGCAGAAAGCAAGACTGCAGAAAAGATCAGTTAACAAGCTCTGGAGGACAGCTGAGGGTGGCCAAAATGAAGGTAGTGGCAGCAAAAATAAAGTGAAATGAGCTAGGAGATAAAGGAAAATTTTGAGTGGCGATTTCTCATGGGATATCCAAGTGGAAATATTCAGTTGGCTAATGTCTATGTGAGTCTTAAACTCATTTATTCAACACATTTGTTTTGGAGAGCCTACAAAGTGGCTGCCAAGGAAGGGATGATAACACCTTGGGAGAAAATAGCACAAAGCCCAGAGGTATGCCGAATGCTAGAAGGAATTCTGCCTGTGAGAAAATGTTTCTATGTATTATCCACAACATAGATAATCCTTATACATGGAGATAATAATACTGTCATGCTCAATGAAGTATTAATCTTGAATATAATTTTATAAATGTAAAATATTTTAAGAAAACAGCTTCTACCCAAACATGCAGAAACAAACAACTAAAATATAGTCAAATTGTTTGGGATGCATAATAACTATAGTTCAAGCTACATATCCTTCTGTATTTTTAGAGAAAAAAAGTAAATATAAGCAGTAGGCATGTATATTTGGAAAGTCTTTTATGTATTTTAAATAAATCTTATTGATTTTGAAACAAGAGTCAGGCCTAAAGTAAGACAATAACATTCTCGTGTTACATAGCTACATGTAGTTTTATATGTATATGTTTGCGTCTATTTCAACTTATGGTGACTCCATGTGCACAGAGCAGAAAGAATTGCTTCATAGGGTTTTCAGGACTGTGACCTTTCAGAAAGAAGTAGATGCCAGGCTTGTTTTCTGAGGCACCTTTGGGTGAAATTTATAGTACACATATTTCTAACTAGATTCTCCTTCCACTGAATGATGACTCAGCATAATTTACATAAAATGTTATAGGACCCCATATGCAGAATTCAAATGGCAATTAAAAAAAAATCAGTCTGCAATTAGGAAAGCAAAACACCAATCTATCTAGTAATGCTACTGGAATGCCAGTGGAATTTGAATCTATGGTATTAGGAAAGACCAGATCAGACAGCTTCATGATGCAGACTTGGCAAATCAAGCCACCATTTAACAATGGATTCCACAATCTCTGATTTTTCTTGCACTGTCTTCCTGTTAAAAACTGGTAAATGGACTAAATAATGCTATGAAGAATTAATCGCTAGAACATTTATAAATGTCCAGTACGTACCAGCCACTGTGCTCTTAATATGTAAAATTAAAGAGGGGCTGTTCACAATGACCCAGTCAAAATGGAAACTAACACCCAGAATCCAACCATTTTGTGAAGAACGCTGGTGACAAATACAATACCTACCCCAAGTTTCATTCATTATTGCATTAGCAAGTTGTCTACGATTTTAGGCTTAAAGAGGCAATAAACCCACTGCCACGGACTGACTCATAGCCAACCTATAGCATATGATAGAAAAGCCTCGTAAGAGTTTCCAGGATTGTAAATTTTATGAAAGGAGACTGCCTCATCTTTCTCCAGCAGAGCAGCTGGTGGGTTCGAACACTGACCTTTTGGTTTGCAGCCAAATGCTTTAACCAGTGCGCCACCAGAGCTCCTTATAAGAGGCAAGTTACTTATTTTATAGGTGTTTTTCAAAGTAAGATGATAAGGTGGTCACTTTAGACTGATTTAGTAAGTTGTGTCCTTGTTGTTGTTACATGCCCGCGAGTCGGCCCCGACTCATAGCGACCCCTCCTTGGGTTTCCGAGGCAATATCACTACAGAAGCAGATTGCCCAACCTTCCTTCTGAGGAGTGGCTGGTGGCTTTTAACCGCCAGCCTTCTGGTTAGCAGTCAAATGCCTTAGGCACTATGCCACCAGAGCTCCCTCTTTAATCCAAGACTGCCTCATATCTGGTAACTACTTCTCTCTTTATTTATACAGTAGATGTGTCCTGAGGGGTCATCCATGTGTGTAGTTCACATGGCCTAACACTTTTTCTTTTTATTAAGGACTTGATTTTCATCCAGTTCTTACCTGATTGCCCAGCACAGCGGTGGCACAAGCTGTGGACACCTCCTTGGGCCCAAACCACACAGAAGCGATGCGGGAGGGCAAGCCCAGGATGAACACCTGGGCCACAGAGCACAGGCTCTGGCCCAACATAGTGACCCAGAAGAGATGCGGCTGCACGCTGCCGCACTTGACCCAGGCGCCCAGGCAGTTGAGGCCCGAGCCTAGTAGTGCGGTGAGCCGCAGGCCTCTGGTGTTCAGCAGCCAGGTAGCCGGGAATATGAGGGGCACGTAGGCCAGCATGTACACCATAGACAGCCAGTCGATGTGCAGCGAAGAGACTCCGTAGAAGCCCTCAAAGACGTTTGTGATGATGCTGTACTGAATCCACTGAAAGGCGTTCACCAATGAGTACAAGCTGAAAATCAGGAGCACCAAGAAGCGTCGCGCGGAAAGCGCTATCCGAGGCACAAGAGGATCCTCAGCCTCTGGGGTGGTGTCACCCGGTCCCGTGGGCAGCAGCCGAGTCTGGGTCTCCTCCTCCGTGGCCAGCGGGGTCTGCAGTCCGTCCAGGGCCTCAGAAGAGGCTCCGGAGCTGTTCAGAGGTCCCCCGTTCAGGGCCAAGGAGTCAGCTTTGGGCCCGTTCTGCGCCTCCGTGATCACCTCCTGGAAGTGCCCGTCCCCCAGGACCGAGAGGTATCCGTTCGCGTGCGGGTGCCCCGGATCCTCTGCTGCCTCCTCCTCACTATCCGGCCTCGCCATGTCCCCGAGGCTGGGGCGCCGCCCTCCTTCCCGGCCCTGGGCCCCCACACTAGCACAAGCCACCAGCCCCGGGTCCAAGGCCTGAGCCCCTCCCTGCACACCAGCCCCAACCCGACGGCCGACCGCTCCCGAGATCTCTTCCCCCTCCCTGCTGAGGCAAAGTGTGCGCGAACCGCAGTCCGTGCTGCCCGGGCCGCAGACCAGAAGTCCTCTCCACGCGTCGCAAGCTGGCAGTCACCGCGACAGGCCGGGCAGTGAGCTCCTCGTCCCCGCGTGGTGGCGGCCCGCTGGCCAATCAGGGCGCCTTTGCTCGGGCAGGAGCCAATCCAGAGAGCTTCCGTGAGGGGGGCGGGAGCAAGCGTGCCGGGAGGAAGGCAGTGCTGGTGCTGTAATCCCAGGAAGGATGGAGGGGGCTGGAGTTGTCTGCACTCGGGGGTGGGCGGTCGGGAGGCGGTCCGCGGATGAGGCAACTTGGTTAAGATGAGCGGGAGGGAGAAACCAGCGGGAAAGACTGCGGTAGGCATCACCTACCCTGCTCCAAAGGGCCGAGTTTTAGGCGCCAAAGCAGTACGCGTTTGTCCTTTCCCACAGAGTACAGCCGCTTGGCAAGATCGGTCCTTGCCTTTAGAGCAGACTTGACCACGTTTCGTAAATTTGTGCTTTCTCGGCACAGGGAAAACGCCAGAAAGCGTTGCAATCCAGATAAAGAAAGATATTTCGTCAGAAATCTGCCCTTGTGAAGTTGGAAATCCCCACCCCACCCCCACTCTGCTATTTGAGTGACCGAATGAAACGTGCTGTGCCCAAGCCGACGCTGTTGCCCGACATGCTCCTTGGGCCAACACCTGGAGTTAATATTTACTGAACATGCACATTCAGTGGGTTTCAGATACCAAGTTCTTTTTGAACGGTATGTGCCAGACACTGTCACAGGCTCTGGGGAATAAATAGTAAATAAAATTTGGGCATAGGCCTTTTCCTCAAGAACACACGTAGCCTTGCAGGCCTTCCTTTATTAGAGAAAAAGCCTGCCCTTCAAGTTTGAGAAACTGAATTAGGAAAAAGAAAAGAAAGAAGAGATCACAAATAGGGGTATATATAAGACTTCTCACTGTGAATTGAATCTTTTAAAAACCTCTGCTATTTAGAACTCTAAAACCATGTACACCTTTTCATTGCCTCAAAAACCAAACCAAACTCCTTGCTATCAAATCATCTGGGTTTCCAAGGCTGTAAATCTTTCCAGAAGCAGAGTACCTCATCTGCTATGGAGTGGCTGGTGAGCTTGAACCACCAACCTTTATGGTTAACAGCCACATGCCTTAACCACTATACCACCAGAAGTGTTTGACTGTTAGTCACTTCTACTCTGCTCTGTGGGAGCTCTGGTAGTGTAGTGCCTAAGGCACTTGACTGCTAACCAGAAGGCTGGTGGTTCAAACCTACTAGCCACTCCTCGGAAGAAAGATGGGGCAATCTACTTGCATAATGATACTGCCTCTGAAACCCAAGGAGGTGTCACTATGAGTTGGGTCCTACTCGACGGCACATAACAACAACAACTCTGTCCTATAGAGTCACTAGGAGTCAGAGTTGACTTGACAACAATGGGTTTGACTTCTATATTCCCAGAACCTGGAACAGTACTTGACACATAGAAGGTATTCAATAAACATTTACTAAATCAATGAAGCTAATAAGTGTTGGATTACTATAGAATGATTTCATTAATTACTTGTATTAAAGAATCTATTTCTTTTATTTAAAAAAATTATGTGCACATACCTGCAAGCATGATTTTTTTAAAAGGTATTTGGATATTATTTTAGATTATTGAGACATGTTCTTTGAGTGACCAAATGCATGTCTAAATGTGGAATCCAAATCCTGGTTAAGAAGTTTATCTTATGGATTTCTAAAAAATGAACTAATAATATTGCTTGATATCTAACACAACTTATTATTCAATATCTAGAGCTATTTTAAAATTCCATCATGTACCATGAAACACAAAAAAAAAATCCAATGGATAGAATTTTGAAAGAATCTTTCTGTGTTTGCCCAAGTCCTAGCTCCATTCTAGGTGTTCACAGCAAATATTCAGGTAACTGCAGACTTCCTTCCCACTTCCACAAACTGGCAAGATACATTAGGTCTCATTTCCCTTTTATCCAGTGGGTGTTAGAGATAGTCTTCTGCCAGATCTGAAAGATAATTTTCCTCTCTGCATGACATCTTCCTGGATCTACCCCTGCAGGGAGGCCATTCTCATTTGTTGTTTAGACTCCTTCTGTAAAGATAATTTGTCTGCCCTACATCCTTAATAGGAACCAGTCCCTGGAGAAGGGCATCATGCTCAGTAGAGCAGAGGGTTAGCAAAAAAAGGGAAGACCGTCAATGAGATGGATTGACACAGTGGCTCCAACAATGGGCTCAAGCACAGCAAGGGTTGTGAGGATGGTGCAGGACTGGGCAGTGTCTGGTTCTGTTGTACACAGGGTCACTATGAGTCAGAGCTGACTCAACAGCACCGAACAACAACACAGTACATCCTTAACTAAAAGGATTAGATTGGAAGTCCCTTGGGAATCTGGGACAGCCAGTCAGCTCCTAATTTTTCTCCACATTTTTACCACCTGGTGCCTATCCTATTCTTGTCCACTTTATCATGGGCTTTCCCATCACGTGACAACAAAGCCTAGCATCTGAAGCTACCACCATCTAGAGTTGTGGGGAAAAGCCTTAGATCTGGAGCCAGGCTGCCTGGGTTTGAATCACAGCTTCAGTACTCACTAGCTATATGACCTTCAGTAAATTTCTTGGCTGTTCTTGGCTGTACATGCTTCACAGGGTTGTCATGATGATTAAATGTGTGAATGATGCTTGGCACATAGTAGCCGTTTATAGTTATGGCTAGTAAAGTAGTCTACTGTAGTGATTAAGGGTACAGGCTTTGGAACTAGATGGCCTATGTTCAAATCTTCCGCTTAATAGCTGGATGACATTGGATTAGTTACTTTGTGCCTCAGTTCCCTCAAAATTAGGACAATATTCTTCATGAGATCGTTGTGAGGAATAGATGACTAATAGACATAAAGCACTTAAGTGGTACCTAATTTATACTGATATAGTACTCAATAAATGTTATCAATAACCATTATCATTGACTCCTATCTTTGTGTTCTTAAAGCCATACCTTGTTGTATTATCTTAGATTTGACCCCATTTTGCATTTTTATCATTCTGGACCTACTCCAAGCTCTTCAGACTGAATTTATGATTGTACAGCCCTTCACTGGAGCTAGTACCAGTCTTGTTGTTGTTGTTAGGTGCTGTCGAGTCATTTCTGACTCATAGCGAGCCCATGCACAGCAGAACACGCCAGCTCCACGATCCCTGCTATACTTGAGCCCATCATTGCAGCTCCCCTGTCAATCCATCTCGTTGAAGGTCTTCCCTTCTTTTGTCGACCCTCCACCTTACCAAGCATGACGTCCTTCTCCAGGGAATGTTCCCTTCTGACAACATTACCAAAGTAGGTGAGACGAAGTCTGGCCATTTTCGCTTCCAAAGAGCATTTCGGGTGCACTTCCTCCAGGACAGATCTATTAGTTCTTTTAGCAGTCCATGGTACTTTCAGCATTCTTCGCCAGCACCACAACTCAAA